AACCGTAATTCGTTATAAGCATATATACAGCATAACTACAGCATATAGTCGGGACTAAAAAGTTAGTTCGTTATATCCGTAAGTTCGTTTTAACCGTAGTTTACTGTACAGGTACCAGCAATGCAAAACTATTCCTCGTATTATTCGGCATGGTGGCACGATTACTAGGGAAGTTGTTGAAGGGCAAGTTCACACGAAAAAGAAACTTTTTTTCTTGTACGTTTACAACCTGAAAGACATCTGCCTGGTACTTTCGGAGCCAACATATCACAATTAACTAATTTTTGCTTTTTCGCATGGAAGTGATTCATTATTTTTACCTTTCCCTTAAAGTCCTATTTCCATAATAGACACACCATAGCTGATGGCCCTTCCAATATGACGTCATTGGTGTCAACTGATTTGGCGTAAAGCTAAAGTACAAAGCAGTGTTAACTTAACCTGACAATGCCACATGTGCCCAATTCACTCTGACAATGCCACATGTGCCCAATTCACTCTGACAATGCCACATGTGCCCAATTCACTCTGACAATGACACATGTGTCCAATTCACTCTGATAATGACACATGTGTCCAATTCACTCTGATAATGACACATGTGTCCAATCACTCTGACAATGACACATGTGCCAAATTCACTCTGACCAGTGACACATGTGTCCAAGTCACTCTGACCAATGACAAATGTGCCAAATTCACTCTGACCAGTGACACATGTGTCCAATTCACTCTGACAATGACACATGTGCCAAATTCAGTCTGGCCAGTGACATATGGCCAAATTCACTCTGACAATGACATTTGTGCCCAATTCACACTGACAATGTCACGTATGCCCAATTCACTCTGACCAATGGCACATGTGCCCAATTCAAAGTGCTCATTAACAGACGTGCCCAATTCACCATAACAATAACACATGTTCCAAGTTCACTGTGGCCAATGGCAAATTTGCCCAAATCACTCTGACCAATGACACATGTGCCAAATTCACTCTTGCCAGTGACACATGTGCCCAAATCATTATGACAATGACACATGTGCCAAATTCACTCTGACAATGACACATATACCCAATTCCCTCTGACCGGTGACACATGTGCCCAATTCACTGTGACCAATGACACATGTACCCAATTCACTCTGACAATGACATGTGTGCCCAATTCACTCTGACAATGACTCATGTGACCAATGCTCTCTGACCGATGACACATGTGCCCAATTCACTCTGACAATGACAAATGTGTCCAATTCACTAGTACCAATGACACATGTGCCCAGTTCACCTTTCCCAAAGACATATGTTCCCAATTCAGTATGACAAAAGCCACACGTGCCAAATTCACTCTGACCAGTGACACATGTGCCCAGTTCACCTTCCCCAAAGACAAATGTGCCCAATTCACTCTGACAATGACATGTGTGCCCAATTCACTCTGACCAGTAACATATGAGCCCAATTCACTGTGACCGATGACCCGTGTCCAATTCACCCTGGCCAGTGACACATGTGCCCCGTTCACTTTTCCCAAAGACATATGTGCCTAATTGACTCTGGCCAGTGACACATGTGCCCAGTTCACTGTTCCCAAAGACATATGTGCCTTATTGACTCTGGCCAGTGACACATGTGCCCAGTTCACTGTTCCCAAAGACATATGTGCCCAATTCACTCTGGCCAGTGACACATGTGCCCAGTTCACTGTTCCCAAAGACATATGTGCCCAATTCACTCTGGCCAGTGACACATGTGCCCAGTTCACTGTTCCCAAAGACATATGTGCCTAATTGACTCTGGCCAGTGACACATGTGACCAATTCACTGTGACCAAAAAGGCCACTTTAGTGGAAATTCCACCATACTAATCCCATCACGGCAACTAACATCGATGCGACTATCGGATAAATTCTCTCCGACATAAAAAAGACAACACATGTATTGAGAATTGTATTGGGTAACGTAAACATTAAAACATGAATTATTAGGAGGAACAATCGAATAAATTACATGGAAAAATATTGTTTATATACATACATGAACACATGTGAGCATTGAAGTGCTTAAAGTAAAGAAATCGACAGACTATAGACAAGACATGTGCGAGTTAAACTGTTAGGTCGTATCGACAGTATTTAACCCGCATCGCGAGTCAAACCACACTATAATGACGTAAGTGGCCATATGGGTTTTGTTTGTTTGTTGTTTAACGCCACACTCAGCAACATTCCAGCTATATGACGGTGGTCTGTAAGTAATCGAGTCTGGACCAGACAATCAAGAGATTGATGTCATGATCATCGATCTACACAACTGGGATACAACGACATGCATCAACCAAGTCAGCGAACCTGACCACCCGATCCCGTTAGTCGCCTCGAACGACAAGCATGGGTTGTTGAAGACCTATTCTATCAGGGGTCTGCACGGGGCAGTCGCCATATGGTTTGTGATGTGAAACTCACCTACACATCAAAAGATATTATCACTACTTAATAGAAGCTGAAAAAACATCCTTATTTTCCATCTGACTATAGTTATGCCATGACTACGGAATACTGTGAGGGACATTCTTGCGATATCGAATTCTCGCAATTTCGACCTTTGGTAACGAGCTAAATATGCCCAAAACACGAGAATGCGATTACATGACAGATTAACTATAGTCAATGAAAACATCGGGTGTTCCTCAACTTCTTTTGAGTAGTACTCATACATCTGAGGCTACATAAAATGATTATTTCTTCGATGAAAAAAATAAATCTTTTTTGGATATTATTAAATGTCAAATTCTTTGCAAGTTATTATTTCTCCCTGTTTATATATGCATCTTACACTTATAGTGCAAGGGCGTATTGAAAGGGCAGAGTTCTTATCTTTCTTTTCTTCTTCGGGTTTTGATTGGATTGTCCGTACGTACGTTAGAGCTAAAATGGCTTTTCGTAGCTCTTCATAAAATCCCTACATTTTAAAAAGAAAACGGTTTGCGAATTAAACGAACAAATAACTATTGTTGTAGGCAAATATTATTCGTTTAAACGATCCGATGGTAATTTTGAAACCATGATAATGTGACAAGACAAGACAAGACAAGACAAGACAAGACAAAAAAAATCTTGCTTATGTCGGCTTAATATTTTGTAGATCGAATCGTGAATAATTACAACATGGCCGTAAGTTACTTACACTTACAATGAATAGGCAATCAAAGTGAGCGAGTGAGTGAGTGAGTGAGTGAGTTGGGTTTAACGCCGCTTAGAACAGTATTCCAGTTATATCACGGCATGTCAGCTTAATGTGGAAGGAAAGCTCTAAGTGATGCAGGTCTCAGACGTTCACCAAGAGGAAGGGAATTCTGCTGACAAACCAAGACATATAATCTTGCCGAAACAGGATTCGAACCCACGATGACAGGGTTTTCGAGAGCCCAAGGGACGCAACTCTGCACAGCGAATTGCGGCGCCTCAGACGACTACGCCACCTGTGCCCCCGTATTTGCCACTGCACCACCAATGGTATTTTAATAAGAAATAAAGAATCAGGGTCTAACAATAAACTGACCGCCTCCGTGGTCTTGTGGTAGAGCGTCCGCCCGGAGAGCGGAAGGTCCAGGGTTCGATCCCGGGCCGCGTCATACAAAAAGACGTTAAAAGATTGTACTTGTTGTTACCCTGTCTGGCGCTCGGCATTAAGGGGCTAAAACAAGGACTGGTCGGCTCGGAGTCAGTATACTGTGTCTGAGTGGGGTATTCATGTTAAAACTGCGGCATGGTATCTCAGTGAGCTAGCACTATAAATCGGCATCAGTCCGGACTAGTACAAGCAGCCACACACACACATACACGTACATGCACGTCGCTATATAAGTGCAACAATCTTTGACGCGACGTTAAACCCAATTTCACCTCACCTTACAATAAACTGGCGTGTATGTTCGCCTTAAGGGAATGAGTAGCACTCCGCCCGGGCTTGTTTCACTGCCTTCCGCATGGTGGCGCCTGTTTAAATGCACGAAAGGCCAAAGAAAAGAAGATGGAATTTGTGATAAGTTTAGTTTTCAGGGTCAATATGTGAGAAAATTCATCGGACGGATCTAAGTGTCACAGTTCGATACATCGAAATCGATTCCACAAACAAAACTTGAAGGTTTCTTAGAGTCTGCTCAGTCTAACTATGCCGGACTGGTTATGTTTTTCACCAAGTTTGCATCTATTCCGGGGTATGGAAGATGGGACAGATATAATCCTGAATGAGTCACCTCAAATCAAAGACGTTCATTGACACACATCAACTAACAGTAACGTCAACCTTTTATGCGTCTGTACACTCATTTCGACAATCTCCACACAGTGATAGATCGTTTCATACGGTGAGCCAAGTTCCACACAGCGTTGACGGGTGTCGCTCGCACCTCACTAGCAAAGGGGGCGCTGCGGAGGAGTTGGACCTGGGTTGTAAAATTAGAATGATACAGTTATACGTCATTCATTACTGTCTTTGTGCTGTGCAACATCTTTTTAGTAGTGAGTGAGTGAGTATGGTTTTACGCCGATTTAAGCAATATTCCAGCAATATCACGGCGGGGGACAAAAGAAATGGGCTTCACACATTGTACCCATGTCGGGAATCGAACCTGGGTCTTCGGCGTGACGAGCGAACGCTTTAACCACTAGGCTACCCGACCGCCCCCATCTTTTTAGTAAAGATGCTCTATTCATATGTTATATTCGGAAACACTTTGAAAACACAAATTCAATTTTTGGGGGGTTATATTTGGCAAAATGGCCAAAAAGTTAAATTAAGTCGTCAAGGTACTGAGGCACAAGATAATCAAACACAACCATGGCGTCGTATGGGTTCAAACACGCATCTTTCCTGATTTCGAGTTAAAGCGATAATGCGTTTTAAAGTGTTTCAGTATATTTTGCCGTACTGGATAACAATGGTAGCATTTTGTACCAAGATCAACAAATAAAATCAACATAGCAATCTGATCTTTAACTAAAATTGTCAATGAACATACATGCATATGGTTATGCTGGTCAGTTGTTTCTGGAACAAGGGCGTTTAGAACAATGTAGTGTGAGTGAGTTTGGTTTTACGCCGCTTTTAGCAATATTCCAGCAATATCACGGCGGGGGCCACCAGAAATGGGCTTCACACAGTGTACCCATGTCGGGAATCGAACCCGGGTCTTCGGCGTGAAGAGCGAACGCTTTAACCACTAGGCTACCCGACCGCCCCTTAGAACAAGGTAACACAAACTAACTTTACCATTACATCAACGCGAAGGGGCTTCTATAATCCGGCTAATAATGACCCATGTGTTTGATGTCACTCCTACTTCTGTACAAAATACAATATTTGCAAAATGAATGCAACCCATTGACCATGAAATAATATAAATCAACCTGTCGTATCGGAAACCTCATTAATATGAACCAGGTCAACTTGCCATGTCGGAAACTTGTTTTGTCAAAGTTACATTTTACTACGACAACGGTAATATCGACAGACAACAAAGAACATTGGTAGTCGAAGGACATAAACCTTGTAGCGTATCAGTGTCACGAATTAAAGGATATTTTACGACTATCGTTATTTAAAAAAAATGGAACAGATGTCATGCAATAAAATAAAGTTGAAATTATTTAAAACAACAATATACATAACTGATCAAATTGTTACTGATATTTTTTTGTAAAATCTGTGAACAAAATATTCTACAAAACACACAGAATATTAATTTTCAGTTTCCTAGCAGCGTCCAGGTACAGAAACATCTAACACTATACTACTCAAAAGAAGTTAAGGGTCGGCCGACTGTTTCATATTATTACTTAATCTGTCATGCCTTAATTGTTTTGAGTAATATATTTCATTCTCACTGACGAGGTGAGAAGCCAGTTTAAGATCGCGTTCTCGGTGAATTACAATCAACTAAGCCCAAAGATCACTTTGTGAAACAGGGCCCTGGACGTTAAAATATTTTACGGGCTACCCTCCAACATCCAGTCTTGTGTTGATATTTTCTGGGCAGGTAAAGAGTCACCGCTACTGGAGATATAGGACGACACGTCACCGGGGCTCACAACCTTGTCGAGGGGCCGAGGTCGTTTCCCTCTTTTCGCAATTCCCTTCGCCCACTGGCAGTAGAAGGGGTCCCGGCTGAGAACGTCCTGTTTGTTACCCGGGTCGCGGGGGATGGTCCTGATGAACCACGACGTGCGCTTATCGCCGTGCTGGTCTCTACGAGGGATAGTGTTGGTGGCGTTGCCATCGCTGGAGTGACTGCTGTCGTTGCTCTGCTTGTTGAATTCTCCGAGACCGGAGTCAATACTTTCGGTGAAAGCGGATCTTGGGTTCTTCAGAGCTGTCGAAAAGTCGTGGAGACTTCCGGTTTGGAGATCAAGATGGGATGACGTCCGAGCAGCATTGTGTTTGAGTGGTTTGTCGTCTGATGGCGGTTTTTCATTGGTGTTGAGATTCGGAAGAGAACCTATAGTTCGTGATGTCGACGATGGGGTAGACGATGATGTTGAAGTGAATGAAACTGTGCTCACGCTGCTATCGGACGGGAAGACGTTGTTGGTGTCGTCTGACGTTAAACGGACGTCATTCTTGTCAACGTCGTAACTTACCTCCCCTGTTTTTGTGTTGTAGACGTAAGGTTTGTCCGTTGCTGAAAATGAAATTTTTTGTTGTAGAAATATTTTTTTCTTCATACAAAATACATAGGTATTTTATTCCCGTCGTTGCAATTATCAGGTGCCAATGCCAACTGGCATGTGCTGGCAAATTTTGAGTTTGAACTTTGAATCCATTCAAAACGTATCCTGGCACGGCAAGGGACGCAACTCTGAACACATTGTTTAGCGTCGCGTTTGATGTTATTACATTAATACGGGGGCACGGGTGGCCCAGTCGTCTAAGGCGCCGCGATTCGCTGTGCAGAGTTGCGTCCCTTGGGCACGCCAGAAACCTATGATTGTGGGTTCGAATCCCGGTTCACCCCAATTATGTTTCTAGGTTTGTCAGCACCATACCCGTGCTCGTGGGTTTCACCGATGTGGTAAACGTCTGAGACCTGCATCACTTCGGGCTTTCCTCCCACATTAAGCTGACACGCCGCGATATAACTTGAATACTGTTAAAAGCGGCGTTAAACCCAAATCACTCACTCACTATTACATTAATACAACTGCATGTGAGTGTGTAAGAGAAAAAGAGTTCGGGGCCAACTAGCCCTTGTTTTATCTCCTTAATGCCGAGCGCCAGGCAGGTAAACATCAAGTACCATGTTTTAACGTCTTTTGGTATGACGCGGCCGGATCGAACCCCCGACCCTCCACTCTCCGGGCAGACGCTCTACCACTAGACAACGAACGGGTTCCTCACCGTTGGGAAGCATGCCCCCTCCAATGACACAGATATGCAATCATCAGTAAGATGAGACCGCCTCCGCGGTCTAGTGGTAGAGTGGTAGAGCGTCCGCCCGGAGAGCGGAAGGTCCGGGGTTCGATCCCCGGCCGCGTCCTACCAAAAGACGTTAAAAGATGGTACTTGTTGTTACCCTGTCTGGCGCTCGGCATTAAGGGGCTAAAACAAGGACTGGTCGGCTGGGAGTCAGTATACTGTGTCTGAGTGGGGTATTCATGTTAAACTTCGGCGTGGTATCTCAGTGAGCTAGCACTATAAATCGGCATCAGTCCGGACTGGTACAAGCAGACACACACACGTGCATGCACGTCGCTATATAAGGGCAATTATCTTGGACGCGACGTTAAACCCCACCTCACCTCACCTCACCTCACCTCACCTCACCTCAGTAACATGAAACGTACCGTCATCAAATCCAACTCCATCGAAGACCTTTCCCCCAACCAGCAAGGGTTTTTCCTTGAACCCCATCTTTGGCGTGACACGTGGCGGGGTTACTATTTTGTCACGTGGCGTGATGTCATCATCAGCTACGAGACTAACAGCATCATCGTCTCTTGGCAAAACGTTTCCCGTCGGGTTCTTGGTGGGAGATCTGCCCACCATTGGACCTTGATGTTTAATTGTAGGTGTGGCCCACTTCTTGTCACTTTCAAACTTCTGAAACCGAGGTTCAGCTTTTTCATTTGGAGATAGAACAATCGCTGGGATGATTGCGGGGAGATCAACAGTCGACTTTCGGTTGCTGATGTAAGCGTCAGTTAGTGACTCTGAAATATCAGGGGTGGAATATATACAAAACATGCAGACCCAAGTGGATGAGAACGTAATATGTGAGCTAGGGTTTACAGTTTTCTTAATAAAGTGCCGGACTAAAAAGCATACACTTAAAACTGGATTTGACGAACAGTTAGAAACGCTATCAAAACTTTACCAGGGTTAAAACATTCACCGAAACACAGCAAACTTAAGATAGAAAACACAACGATGATACCCGTATCTACCACATCCCCATCGAATAACCATTTCATCAAACATGGGCGTATACTTTCTTTTACCCAGTAGTGTATGCCAGCGTGTTGGCTGTGCGAGGAAAGCTTAAAGTGAGATTGGCTACAGACGTCTATCGCTGTTGTATTGACTTTTCCTGTAATATGTAACATGTCTGGCCTGATAAAGTTGACATTGTCATGAGATAAATATGTTATTTCAGTCAAATATCCTCTTAGCTCACCTGATCTCGGGATGATCGTGGTGACGGGGGCCACAGGTGGGACATCACGGAACATAGGAGCTGTTGATCTCTGGAGTAAACAACAGTTCGTGACGTTTATCATTGTGTTTCTACCTTGTTTGCATATAACGAAACGTGATATCGATAAACCATTCCGACAAACCTGGTACTACGTTCTGATAAATATGCAAATAGGGGCATCTGACAGGGATTACTTTTAATAAGCTCAATACAATGATGCGGCGTCTAATTAATCAATAAAATTGCATATGTTTCGACAGGGATTTGTTGGTTTGTTGTTTAACGTCACACTCAGCAATATTCCAGCTATATGGCGGCGGTGAGATAATAATCGGCGGACCAGACCATCCTGTGATTGACATCATGAGCATCGATCAACGCAATTGGGATACGATGTCATGCATCAACCAAGTCAGCGAGCCTGACCACCCGATCCCGTTAGTCGCCTCTTACGACAAGCATATAGGGGTTGCTGAAGACCTATTCTAACAAGGAACTTCACGCGTCTCCCGCTTTGTGAGTACCTGACTCAAATCATTTGGCACTATATATGAATGGGGCAAGTTACTCAGGCACCGTATTCCTACGCGGTTTCCAAAATTACGTAAGTAAATGAAAACACGTCTTTACCTGCGAATATTTTTTTAATGATATCTAAAATAAAGGAATTATTGCCCTTATGTGTTTCTGTATCGTAAATATTATATAAAAGGAAAAAAACCATAATAATAGTATAATTATAAAACCTGTTACATTAACGTTTTGTTACAGAAACAAAGTTGGCTAATCATCTCTATATCACGAACCATGCCCGGACACACCTGGACAGTGGTCACCATCCTGACCGCGCAGTTGACCTTCATTCAGCCATTATCTAGACTATGGGTCGTCACAGTGAACATATGTATAGCTTAACCTGGGCTAATGTCAAGGTGAAAAGGTACGCCAGTATTGTATATGTTACAAATACGTCTGTACATGCAGATCAATACTCACTCTCTCGTTCCTGCTCTCCCTGCTGACCGGTTTTTCTGCAATAGACCATGAAGTAGGTGATACAATGTATACTACGTTGACTAGGTGAATGGATATGGCTTAAAGCCGCTTTTAGCAATATGACAATCCAGCCATAACAGGGACACCAAAAATAATCGACAAACATGATACCCACGAGGGTAATCCCATCCGGGTTTTGGCGTTATGTTTGTTAAGCTTGAAATGCTCTATCTGTTCAAGCCTAGACAGCATCTTTTACAGTCTTAAAACTTTTGACAAAATACTCTCTCCCAAATTCAACTGGTGCTGAAATAATTGTTACAAAGATTTCTTCTATTATTTTATATGGTTGAGAAATCGGGGGATACACCTTTAAAAAAAAATCACATCAATTTCTTTAAAAGTTATATTTCCGTTGGAAAAAGAACTTCTACAAATGCTGTTTTATGTGAACTTGGAAGAACTCCTGTATGCGTTTTGTTTTGTTTGTTTGTTGTCATCATGCAATATTTCAGCTATATGACGGGGGTCTGTAAATAATCGAGTCTGGACCAGATCATCCAGTGATTGAAATCATGAGCATCGATCTACGCAATTGGGATCGATGACATTTATAAACCAAGTCAACGAGCCTGACCACCCGTTCCTGTTTGTCGCCTCTTACGACAAGCATAGTCGCCTTTTACGACAAGCATGTGTTGCTGAAGACCATTTCTAGAGGGATGGCCAAACTACCATCTCTACCTAAGCTGTGAGATACGTTTGTGGACATTCAGTTCAAATGAACTTGTGTTTATGAATTTGTTTATTTATAGAAAGGTATGGATGGTAATAATAGTATCAAAGTTTCTTACCATCAGAAATGTCTCGTGAATTCCTGAAATATAAGAAAGTCCTTTTATTCTTTGACAAAAAACATATTTTTGATATTCATCACTGTAACCAATTACATTAATGATGGTTATTGCGTGAAACGGCCTTGTACAATATTACAAAAGATGTATTCTCAATCTATAACAACAAGAAAAGAACATTAATACATAATTTACAAGACTTATTTCATTTTATGTAACTCGTCATACGAGTCAGTTGCGTTGGTTAGTTTTCCAGTGTGTAACGATTATTCGCACTCGCAATAAGAAGCCTGAGTGTCTGGTGTTGACACCGCGCCCTTATTTTATAAGCTGTGTTTTTGTTTCTACTTGATACTTACGAAATCTAATTTTTTAACAATTTTTAAATTTACCCTATCTATGACCCAGATTGGGAGGTGACGATGATGATGTTGGGTGTGTTCGGGTGAATTGTTTTTTTAGGAGCTGGAAACCTTTTGTTTAGGCACGTATCCGAAAGGACCGAAAGAAGAATGAGAAATGCATAGTGTGAGATAAGATAAGTACTATATATATACAAAATTTATTGTAAAGTTTCCAAGTTTATTTCCTCTTAAGGATCACCTCATTAAAGAGCTCGGGAATGTTGAATTTAGTCGAATCACGTCATATGGTGTCAGTGGCGTAGCTGCCTTGTAGTTTAGATGATAGGGGTACGAGTTGTGCGTGTGCGTGGGTTAGTGAGTGAGTGTGTGTGTGTGTGTGTGTGTGTGTGTGTGTGTGTGTGTGTGTGTGTGTGTGTGTGTGTGTGTGTGTGTTGGCGCGCGCGCAAATCCAGTGTCATTTGGTGGAGTTTTCTTACATCTTTTCATAAACATTTTCCTGTAAATCCACGTCTCAATAACGTTAGAAATGAATATTTGGAATATGAAAAACATACGTTCCTATTTCATTTTTAATTCATCATAAACTCATAAATTGAATTGTGCAGTCGCATTTGAATTATTTCCTAAAATTCTTTTTTATCTATAAAAGAAATAGTAAGGATGCACGTACGAAATTGACAAGTCGTCGGTCTAAAATGCCTCTATATAGGGGGAGCGAACCAGCTTATGCTTCTTCTCGATATTGGACATATATGTTTTCTGAATTGTATTTATTTAGTCGAACCCACGGGTAGGTATGGTGCATGGTGCTGACAAAGCCAGAAACATAATCTGGGCGAATGTGGGATTCGAACACATGATCATAGGTTTCTGGTCCGTCTAAGGGACACATCTCAGTTCTGGGATGGCGGGACCTTAATGAGAAGTAATTCCCGTATCATCTGTCAAAAGCCTGATATGCTCTTACCTGGCTTTCTTCTTCAGCTTCCAGATGATACAGGCGATGACGAGAATGAGAATGACCAGCACCACAGCTGCAGCTAGAGCGATGACAGTGATACCTTCCGGGGACGCCGTGAACACAGCTGCAGCTGACGTCACCACTGAGTTATAGGGCATCACCTGGTCAGCAGTGGCCGCGCCAGAGGACAGACCGGCCACGGGACTCCCATCTGGCGACGACTGCAGCACCTGGCGTTAAATGAGTGGACGTTCTTTAATAAAAGCGACACCTCCCTTTTCATATTTATAACTATACCGCCTCCGTGGTCTAGTGGTAGAGCGTCCGCCCGGAGAGCGGAAGGTCCGGTGTTCGATCCCCGACCGCGTCATACCAAAACATGTTAAAAGATGGTACTTGTTGTTATCCTGTCTTGCGCTCGGCATTAAGGGGCTAAACCTAGGACTGGTCGGCTCGGAGTCAGTATACTGTGTCTGAGTGGGGTATTCATGTTCAACTGCGGCATGGTATCTTAGTGAGCTAGCACTATAAATCGGCATCAGTCCGGACAGCCACACACACACGTGCATTCACGTCGCTATATAAGTGCAATAATCTTGGACGCGACGTTAAACCCCATTTCACCTTACCTCACCATATTAATAAGTGACTGAGTATGGTTTTACGTCGCTTTTAGCAATATTCCAGCAAGATCACAGAGGGGGACACCAGAAATGGGCTCCACACATTGTACCCATGTCGGGAATCGAACCCGGGTCTTCGGCGTGACGAGCGAACGCTTTAACCACTAGGCTACCCCACTCGCCCCTCAAATTTATAAGAAACCTTTTCTGTCGATTGTACGATTCCGACTATATCATGAAAATTATTTAAGAATTACTATCAAATAGTGATGATACCAGGTGTTCGCGAAAAGGTGAGCGTATCCTGTCCTACCTGTGGCACCCATCACAAAGATTCCCCTTTGAGGTTAAGCATACACCGGATTGTAGTCATTTCCCACCCGAGTCCATGATGGATATTTATGCCGTAAGGTATTACCTAATCAACAGTCATCAATATACTGTAATTAACAGACTCAGAACCAGACAACCAGTGGCTGATAGCATGAGCAACGAAACACGCCGTCGGGGTAGGGTGACACGGTTAGCCAGGCCACCCTTTAATCCTCGCAAGGCCACATATATAGGGGCCGCGGTTTAGTGGATAGAGCATCTTCTTAGCGTCGGCATTAAGGGAATAAAACAAGGACTAGTCGGCTTCAAGTCTTTTGTCTACATGCTATATACATGTAATGTGAGTGCAATTATCTTGAACACTACATTAAACCCCATTTCACTTCACCTCACCACATTGGGTAGCCTATTGGTTAAAGCGTTCGCTCATTACGCTGAAGACCCGGGTTCGATTCCCGACATGGGTACAATGTGTGAAGCCCATTTCTGGTGTCCCCCGCCGTGATATTGCGGGAATATTGCTAAAAGCGGGGTAAAATCAAACTCACTCACCTCACCACATATATCCCTGCAGATGGAGCCTGAAGTAGAGTGAGATGAAATAGGGTGTAATGTTGTGCGCATGTGTGTTCCTGACCAGACCATGTTGTATCCCCTAAATGCCGAGCGCCAGACAGGGTAACAACAAGTATCAGCTTTTAAGCGTATTTGGGGTTGATGCGGCCGGGAATTGAACCGCCACCCTTCTGCTCGAGACCACGCTCCATCCACTAGACCACGTGGCGATCAACCTGCACTAAACATACCTGTAGGACGGTTTGCTGGGTCAGGAACTGTTTAGGGTTCTGTGCATCGCTGAGCGAGTTGACGCTAGGGTCGGCAACCACGTACACCTGGGCTGACGACCTGGTGGTGTTAAACAGAGCTTCAGTTTTATCACATGTCAGCTTAATGTGTGACAATAGCTTACGCACATTGGTGAAACAGGCTCATACAGATATGGTGCTTATCAAAGATAGATATTACGCGTTATATTACGAGGTTATCACGCGAGTGTGTTTGGGAATGGTAAATATCCTGTATCAAGAATAAACATTGTATTTAGCGAGCCTTGGCGAGCGTGATAACCTCTTTATCATATAATGTCATTCTTTAATTCTGTGCTCGAAAATCGCTTTCCATCTTTCACAAACATTACCTAAACATTGCAATTTTTCCTAGAATGTGCGCAATAATATATATTACGTCAGAAGGTAAGTGATGCGTAAGTCGGACAGTGACAGTAGCCAATATAGTTCCAACAGAAACCTGTTTCTTATACCGAGGCGTAACTACATATATGCAAAACAACAATTGCCTACACAAATTGTTTTACTTGCCTTTCGCGGCAATCCGTCGGTCTGTCCGATAGAGATCTGCCCTTTATCAAAGGGAAGCTACTCTAACACTAGTCTACGAAACGTCACGGTCACAGTCAGACGTTGTTGACAGTCGGCCTGTCCTGTCATAACGTTACGAAGTGCAGTCAGATGTACACACAGCGATAAAACGAAACAAGGTAACAATTCGAACATATTTCGGTCAAATCCAACTGTTTTAATTTGTGGAAAAGATTCCATGCTGCAGAGGTCTACAAGCACAGATATGGAAATTGATCCCGCTTGGCTAGTACCCTCGCTATATAGTGCCGAGAAACCCACCCATTATATGATAAAAAGATAAATCTGGTATCGAGCCGACGTCCAGCGGATCCTGGTACAGCCAAGGTGCGCAAATTTAACTGAAACATATTTTGCGCCTTAAGCACCGAGCCAACGATGTCCCTCTGCCCTGCTGATAGTGAGTTGAGTTTTACCGACGCTTTCAGCAATACTCGCCTGAGGAAATTAAAAATGTGCAACAGACATTGTGTCCATGTTGAGAATCGAACCAGAGTGGACGCATTAACCGCTGGGCTACCGTATCCTACTCACTGTGCTGCAAGTAGACGCCGCCTGGCCGAGGACCCCTCCTGCCGCACCTCCCATATACCAACAAACTGGGTCGACAGGAAGAAACTCTGGATGTGGGACCGAACTCCTGGCCTGAAGGAAACGCCGAATATTATCAATGTATTGAACATCAGCTCCTGGAGATTCTTTTTAAAAAGTAAAAATTCATATAAGGGATTTCCAAAGACTTTATAGTTGGTGGTCGAAATAAATGTATAACTAGTGAGTGAGTATGGTTTTACGCCGCTTTTAGCAATATTCCAGCAATATCACGGCGGGAGACACCAGAAAGTGGCTTCACACACTTTACTCTCATGGGGAATCGAACCTGGGTGTTCGGCGTGACGAGCAAACGCTTTAACCATTAGGCTACCCAACCGACCCAAATGTATAACTAAAATTTAGAACACTTTTGAAAAGTCGAAGGATTACCTCCATCTCCTTATTGGCTTATTTATTTAATTTCGTTACTGATATAAGGCTCAGCCAAAAAATCCTATTTTTATTAGGTTTCTTTGCATACAACAATCTCTTACTAGGAATATGCGGAAAGGATTGCAGTGAAACTTAATCAGTCTGAAAACCCGCATTCCGGTTGATTCTGCTTGAAACCTTTATATATATCCACAGTAATATTATGTTACAACAAATCCATGAAAGTAATATATATTAGCAACAAAATCCTTTCAATAATCATAAGAAAACCCTGCTGAAAGTAGAGTCCATTACACGATTCCAACTATATCATGAGCATGTGTTTATGAATCACTATCAAATAGTGATGATACCAGGTGTCATAAACACATGGAAAGGCAAGTCAATTGTTCACCTAAAAAACACGTGAACACATGGTACAAGTCAAATTTGGAAATTGATGCGTAAAATTTGGAAATGTATTTCACATGTCTTTTTTGAAAGCTTAGCTAAGGCCTTGATTGGTAATCCGGACACATTGTAATCCGGGAGATTTCACTTGAAACGGTATGACTACATTTAGGGGTCTTTACATCTATTTCTAGGTCAACACCTACCTGTTCAGTTCAATGGCGTCCTTGGTGTCGCTGAACGTAATTACAATCATGTACAACGCAGCTTCAAAACAGTCAACTCTTACAAGCCCAAGAACAGCCAGGGATTGTCCAGAGGTGGCGTTTACCGCTTGACAAATGACCCATTCAAAATATCGACTGTCCTTGACAAGTTTCCCAGAATCCTTCACAGTGACAACACCAGAGCCTTCGTCCACGCGGACCACTCCTCCGCCGCTGACCGTAACGTATTTGACGGTGTTGACCTCCGCAGCATTCAGTCCGAAAGCGTCCAGCGTCAACGTCGTGACTACTGCTCCGGTTGCTGCAGTGTCGGGTACCTCCGCGGATATGAAAGCAGAGGTCCCTGACGTGTCCGCTTCTATAACAGTTTCAGCCACATCAACGATGTCAATAATCAGAGTGATCTCCCCTGATCTGCCACCACCGTCGGTCGCTGTGACAGCAAAGTTAATAATGGGGTTGCTCTCAAAGTCTGCGGGGTCCTTTACAGAAAGAGCGCCGGTATTGTTAATCTGAAACAATCCGTTACCAGCAACGTACGATGTTGGTATGGAGTACGTCATCTGTCTATTTGTACCTTCATCAGGATCTATTGCTGTTAGGGTCGCAATCACAAGGCCAGCTGGAGAATTCTCTACAACCTTGAAGTTCAAGGTCGACGTAGGAAAAACTGGGTCGTTATCATTTTCATCAAGGATTGTTATGTTGACAATTCTGTCTTCAGATAAGCTGTCATCATCCAACTCATTCACTGAAAGCACGTACCGGCTGTACGTCTCCCGATCTGGTATTTTTGTAAGAGTTATCTCCCCATTTCCGTTTGGCAGCTTCGTTATAGTGAACAGGGAGTCAAAGTTTCCAGATACAATTGAGTACGTTACGATAGCTCCGGCTCTGTGATTTGCGTGAGGAGTCACTTCACCAACTGATGAACCAACGGCCGAGTTTTCCACGATGGTAAAGTCAAACGTTGAGGACACAGAATTGATTAATGGCTTAACTCGGACAGTGACAGTCATCTGTCCAGTTTGGCTAGGAACCCCACCGTCCCTGGCAGTTACTGTTAACGTATAAAGATCAGCTGCGGGTGAGGTCACCATCTTCATAACTCCATCTCTCCATCCAATAACAAATATCCCTTCTGCATTACCAGATGTCACTGCGTAAACGATATCTCCATAAGTTCCCGCATCTGCATCTGTAGCTGTCTCTGAGGACACAACTGAGCCAACATCAGTGATCCTGTTTACGATTTTATCTATGGATGAAGCTGAAAACAGCGGTGCATTATCATTAGCATCAACGACAGTAATGTTCAAGGAGCAGGACCCTGTACTCGATGGTGTTCCTCCATCCGCAGCTTCTATAGTAAGAACATAATTATCATCAGTTTCTCTGTCAAGTGGATTAGCAACAGCCAGGACTCCAGTTTCAGTGTCTATCACAAATGCTCCTGCACCATTGCCAGAGGTTATTTGGTAGGTTATTTTAGCATTGAGTCCAGCATCAGCATCTGTAGCCCTGATCGTGTATATGTCATCATTAACAGGCGTGGTTTCAATAACAGCAAACGAGTAAACCGTCTCAGAGAATTCTGGAGCGTGGTTGTTGGTATCATTAACTTTTATCACGACTACAGTAGTGGTTGACCGTGCTGGACTACCCCCATCAGTGGCTATAATAGGCAGATAGTACACAGCCTGTCTACTGTACTCAGTCTCCATGGCAACTGCCAGGTAACCCAAGGCAGGATCAAACGTAAAGTCAGTCGATCCACTCGATGGTGTCATGACCATGGTAACCTGTCCCAGGGTCCCCTCATCACCATCTGATACCAATACTTGTCCCACAGTAGTCCCAGAAGCAGCTCCTTCTGGTGTAGTCATCTCGAACACTGGCATACTGAATATTGGTGGGTTGTCATTAAGATTCGTAATGGTGATGTCCAGAGTTATCGTATCGGTAGATGCTAAGTTATCCTTCCTTGCAGCCTGAATGATAAGATTATATTGCTGCGTGACCTCAAAGTCTAATTGTCCAGCAATAAAGACTTCCCCAGTTGATTCATGTATAAGGAAAGCGCTATCCGTGTTTCCGTTTAGGATTGTATAAACTAAGTCATCTTCCATAGCCCCGTTTACTGTGGCATTAAGGTCTGTTACGGGTGATATGTCAACGGTATTTTCATCTAAAGTTATTGATAATGAATTTGGTCCAAATTCTGGAACTGCTAAATTTGGGATGATGCTGATGATGACAGTTGTCATGGTTGATCTCACTGAAGGGCCGTTATCAGATGCCTGTACAGCCAGAGTGTACTGCTTCTGTATTGTGTAGTCCACAGCTCCTTTAGTTTTAATAGCATTTCCGTCGAGCTCAAATATGTCTCTATTATTTCCTCCCGTGATGCTGAGATCAATCTGGGCATTATTTCCAATGTCTATATCAGAAACACTAACAGTCCCAACTGAAACACCAACAGTTGCGCCATCCTGTAAGTCAAATGTGTATAAAGTCTCATTAAATGTTGGGTCGTTGTCATTGACATCGTTGACCCCAATCCTCAATTCCGCCGCCACTGTATCGTTTATTTCGTTCGACACTTCAACATTGAGAACATAAAGATCCGTTGTCTCCCTGTCCAAGAGCTTAAGCAGGGTTATAAATCCATCATTGATTAGAAACGTTCCATCATTGCCACTCGTAAACACGTAGGTAAGTTGATTGGATATATCCAGGTCTCGGGCGACTATTTGATACACTTGGGCTCCTAATGTAGCATTTTCATAAACGGTGGTGCTGATGACTCCACCAATCGATCCTATGATCTCTGTGGGATGTTCGTCGACATCAGTCACCTCCACCAAAACAGTTGTCTCCCCTGATCTGGAGAGGGTGCCACCATCGGTTGCAGATATGGTCAATGTATAAGCAGTGAGTGTCTCTGCATCTAGAGGCTTGTCCAGAATCAGCATTCCAGATGAATTGATGCTGAATGTATTGCCAACATTACCAGACACTATGACATAAGTCAGATCAGCATTGACACCAAAATCAGCATCGGTTGCTGATATTATCTCAATGCCTGTATTTACATTGGTGGACTCAACAACATGTAATTTGGTAAATGGTGCTCCAAAAGCAGGATCATTATCGTTGACGTCATGAAGAATGATGTCAAGCAAGCTGTCTGTGGATTGGCTGGAATCAGTGGTTCTAACCCTAACACCAATGCTGTAATTGCCAACATCTTCTCTGTCAAGGCCTGCCAAGACATAGATCTGTCCTGAATGTTCATCGATGCCAAACCTATCACCGACATTTCCAGATATAATCTCATACACCAGAGTACTGAAAGAGCAACACGCTTGGACCTTTATCACTGGGTCTCCAATCGAAACATCTTCAGATCTATTGACGCTGGCAGGAAGGTTTGTAAACGACAAGTCAACCTCCACGAACACCATGACTGGGACTTGGGTACTCAGAGGCGTTGCCCCTTCGTCGGTGACTGTGATCATGAGAGTATAGGAGGGTAACGTGGGTGTTGCGGACAGTTTGAGAGCCCCTGTTGAATCTACATTAAACACCACGGAATCCCCGGCCGTGATGGTATAATTCAGGTCAGCGTTTATATCGCTGTCATCATCCATGCATATCAACGCTGTAAGCGTCGTGCCGGTGGAGTATGGTTTGGGCACAATAATTGTTGGAACGGTTTCACAGATGGCGACGTTGTCATTGACGTCTGTGATGTCAAACTGAACCGTGACGGATGAAGACTTTGGAGACGTTAGTGCATTGTCTGTGGCGATGACAACGACGTCCCAAGTTGTGTTTGTTTCTCTATCCAGGTTGAGTCGTGTAATTATCTGGCCTGATGTAGAGTCTATGAGAAACGGAACAGCAGGGTCCTGTAGTGTGTAGGCAACGTCACCATCAACACCAACGTCGGCATCGGTAGCTTCGATCTGCAGCACCGTTGTTCCTGAAGAGAAAACCATAGTATTACTAATTATAGAATGTCATTTTGTAGTAGTTGTTAATAATATTTGCCCCGTACTTCCGTAGTAGAATTACTCCCAGCATTCCACTTGTCATCAGGTGAATGAAGGGACAAGAAGTAGCTTTGAAACGCCGTTACGAACCAAAAGGTGTTATCCATAAAAAACAAATAAATATTCTATTTGATATTTTGGGGAAATAACATTTTCGAATTAATATTTAATTATATTTTCCTTAAATTTATTAAGGTTCTTTCTTTTAGTTGCTCCATTTTATCATATTAAGGTCACATGGAAAAGAGTATTGTTTCCCAGCCATTAATTTTTAATGGTATGTTAATGTAGGTCAAATTTAAGTTGTATTTTTCCGATTCCCTAACCGCTCCTAAATCCACAATTTTATTAACTGAAAACAACGACATAAGGTAGTAGAGAAATGTTTATGTGGCCTTTACGATTGCTATTACTTTTCGTTATGAGTGGGTCCATTACAAATTGCAAACTCGGATTTAAAAGTATGTTGTAAAATGCGGAAACTTAGCATGCACTTAAAATGAATACAATAGGGTCGGGCCAGGATGAATGTTTCTGATAGAGGTCTGATAGATAACCAACCTGGCAAGGTGTCTTCAGCAATGTTCTGGGTGGCCACTGCAGCAAATGTCGGAGTGTAGTCATTTACCGGGGTGACAGTCAATAAAACCATGCATTCTGACGTCAGGCTGGGAACTCCTTTGTCCACTGCAGTTACTCGTGCAGCATGGACAATTCCGCTGGCAAGGTCGACAATCTCCGTGGTGGTGACAACACCAGAGTTTGTGTCAATGCTGAAGAACGTTCCTGCAAGAAAGAATTCATGTGAAAATTGCGCATCTTCTCCTTTACAAAAAAATGTTGCAAGTTTTGGAAAATATGTAGAACCAGTGGGAGTGTGAATGTTGTTTAAGGGCGCTCTGAAAAGATTTCAGTTAATCATGGCGTATGACCTTTACATGGGAAGAAATCCAGTAACTCAGGAGTTAAACGTTTTCTAGTTTGATGAAACCCACGAGCACCTGCATTTTACTGACAAACCAAGAAACAGAATGAGAGAATTTTGGAATCGAACCGACGATTATAAGTTCCTGGCAGGCCTAAGGGACGTAACTCTGCCCTAGCATGAGTAATCTAGGCGTCAAGGCAGGGAAGCAGACATCGCTTCTTATACGTACCATCTATTGAGTATTCGACTTGTCCCCCCGCTCCGTCGTCGGAGTCGTTTGCAGTCACCGTCGTTGCCGTCGACCCCGGCGTGGTGTTTTCCGGTAATGTCACAGCGTATACAGGCTAGATGGGAAAGAATCTAAGATTTAATTGTTTTACTCTACCGTTTCAAAAAAGTAATTATAAAGGTTCCCAAGTTAAAGTTGTACCATACTATTATCTGGACCAGACACTCCAGTGATTGTCATCATGAGCATCGATCTACGCAATTGGGATAAGATGACATGCATCAACCAAGTCAGCGAGCCTGACCACCCGCTCCCGTTTGTCGCCTCTTACGTTCAAGTATGGGTTGCTGAAGACCTATTCTAACCCTGATTTTCACGGGTACCCTTATGTGTATATAATTAAAGTGGTTGAGTTAAATACTGGTGTAGATTATTTAGATTAAGTGAAAATAGATAACCTCGTACTCGCGCAAGTGAGTGAATGAGTTTAAACAAGGTGTCAGCGACACGGTGCATAAACGTTTACCACCAAAGAGAAATATAAAAGGTCCACGCCAGATCAGTCACAGAAGCAGATTCCATTGGCGCAAAGGGCAAAAGAGCTGTGATAATTGAATGCATGGTTCAATGAAAATCGAAGATGACACCAGGTGTTCGCGAAAAGGGTACGCAAGCCCTGCCCCATCGGTAGCACCTGCCACTCACACAATCTGCATGAAAAAGTATATGCAAGGTGCTGGTCATAAGCGGAGCGAATGTGGATTTCGCACACACGCCCGGTGGAAAATGTTCGATCAGTTCTTAATACACTGGACACATTTCAATAGAACTATTACAATGAGAGTGAGTGAGTCCACGCTGGGGTCGGCCACCACGAACTATCCTGAGTGAGTAAGTTACGCCCGCTTTTAGCCCTATTCCAGCAATATCACGGCGGGGACACCAGAAATGAGCTTTCCACAGTACCCAGGCCGTGCAACAATAGACATGATCTTTAACTTTAGCCATATTTTTCCACTTTTGGACACCATCACCCCACCCCAACCCAACCCAAATGATCCCCACCCCTCACCGATTGCCCCACCACACCACACCACACCCCAACCCACCCCAACCCCTTCCAATGTCTGTGATAGATGACGCTATGCTTACCATGGTGAACCTTGGTTTTTCGTCGTTCACGTCGGTGAGAGTGATAGTTACATGGGCCGTGATATTCTTGTCGACGTTGTTGCTGCTGTAAGCGTTGATGTCAAACTCCACCACGGACAACGTCTCTCGGTCAAGAACAGCCGTCACGACGATGGCACCTTGGAAAACATTACATAATGAAAAGGTGGATGACAGCTATACTTCAGTAGGGATCCTTTTCCTTTGTGATTAATATCTTTGGATATTATCTTTGTTTAGCAAAACACTGATAAAAATCGGCCATTCCTCTCCTCCAACCCCTTCCAAAAAAAACGGAAGGTCGGAGCGTCATACCAAAAGACGTTAGGAAATTATATTTGTTGTTATCCTGCCTGGCGATGACATTAAGGGGCTTAAACAAGAACTGGTCGGCTCGGACTACTGGTTTGAGTGGGGTAACCATGTTAAACCGCGGCATGGTATCTCAGTGGGCTAGCACTATAAAATCGGCATTAGTCCAGACTACTGCAAGCAGACACACACACGCATGTGCATACACGTTGCTATATAAGTGTAATATTCTCGGACGCGACGTTAACCCCATTTCACCTCACCACCTTCCAAAAGAAATTAATAGAAATCAGATAATAATGTATCGAACGGTTTCAGATGTTTCAGCCGAATCATTGCAAATTGGCATCACAATGTATAAACTCGTGACTTTTTCCAAATCTTTGTATGTTACGAATTAAAAACAAGTGTAATGTAAGTGTGACCTCTTTTGCGCCGCTCCTTCCTCCAGCATTTAAATAATTGACTATTAAATCAAATGTAAAAGGTGTCTGTACAAGCACACCCGTGTACCTGTTCTAGAGTTGATGGTAAACCATGGATGAAGTGGTGGAGATTCGAACCCGTACATGATAGTGTTGGGTTCAGTTAGATTGGCGTCCAGATCTTCGGCCTGGGGAGTGAGAACCACTGTCCCTATGGACGTCGTCTCCAAGATACCTGGTGGTGAAATTAAACATAAAGAGTGGATGATGAAAGTCTGCGTATGATCGGTATAAAGCTCCGGGCCCACTTGCACAAAAAAATCCTAACAGAGCGACAATACTAACTCTTATATTCTAACCGCCTCCGTGGTCTTGTGGTAGAGCGTCCGCCCGGAGAGCGAAGGTTCGGTGTTCGATCCACGACCGCGTCATACCAAAAGACGTTCAAAGATGGTACTTGTTGTTACCCTGTCTGGCGCTCGGCATTAAGGGGCTAAAGCAAGGACTGGTCGGCTCGGAGTCAGTATACTGTGTCTGAGTGGGGTATTCATGTTAAAACTGCGGCATGGTATCTCAGTGAGCTAGCACTATAAATCGGTATCAGTCCGGACTAGTACAAGCAGCCACACACACAAACGTGCATGCGCGTCGCTATATAAGTGCAATAATCTTGGACGCGACGTTAAACACCATGTCACCTCACCTCTTGTTTTCTACCATAACACTATCAATGATATGATTAGTGATACTGTTCTTTCTTGATGCTGGACCCTGGGCCTACTAACACAAAAGCGATCTTTGCATTGCGACTGCGTCAATTCTCATACATTAACATGGACATAGTCGTATTGTTGAGTTTGCTTTGTGAATATGGGGTCCAGTCATCCTGTGCAACAACTGTCAACTGTTTTAAAATCAATATCTATATATTGACAGTAGTTTATATTGCATTCCAGATAAACTGCTGGGCAAAAGAAAGTATACACCCTTGTTTGATGGTGGCTAAACATGAAACAAGAAATGGTTATTCGATGGTGATGTATTTGATACGGGTATCATAGTTGTGTTTTGAACCTGAAGTTTGCTGTGACGTAAACGTTTTGATAACGTTTGTAAGTTTTTTCTCAAATCCAATTTTCAACTTTACACTTTCTTTTGCCCAGCAGATCGTTGTGCCTATTGTCATTTCCATAATGCCAGTCACTGGATTGTCTGGTCAGACTCGATTGTTTACAGTGGTTTGGTCTGGTTTGTTGTTTTACGCGGCACTCAGAAATATTCCAGCTTTATGACGGCGGTCTGTAAATAATCGAGTCTGGACCAGAAAATCCAGTGATTAATATCATGAGCATCGATCCACGCAATTGGGATCAATGACATGCATCAACCAAGTCAGCGAGCCTGACCACCCGATCCCATTAGTCGCCTTTTACGACAAGCATAGTCGCCTTTTATGGCAAGCATGGGTTTCTAAAGACCTATTCTACCCCGGATCTTCACGGGTGGTTGTTTACAGACCGCAGTCATACATGTTTATATTCATGATATACGTAGATTTACTTCAGTTGAAATGTTTTTAATTTTATACATTTTTAATTTTATACATTTAATACATTTAGTTTCGCTTTCGTGATTTTCATGAATCTATTTCAATTTAATTAAATATCAAGAAACCGCTAAAAATGTTGAATTATGACCCCTGAAGATTGCTTATTGCCTTGTCATGAACTCTACCCACTTGTTGTAAACACGCTCGTCGAGGTCCACGTGGGATCATGATCATCGACGTCGGTGACGGTGACCTTGACCTCCACACTAGCTGTGTACTGGACAAGTCCGGTGTCCTTGACATCAACTATGAGCGAATACTCCACCTGTCCTGATTCGAAGTCGACGGGGCTGTTTAGAGTTACCTCCCCTGACGTTCCGTCGACACCAAGAATGCTCGTGTCACCTGTCACAGACGCACCGAATGAAAAGAATCATTAAAATATTTTCACGTTCAAAAGACGCTTTTAAATATTTCACTGGGTTGTTATGTTCATAATAAAACTATTGAAAAACAGAAGATACGTCTCAAAAATGAAATATAAAGTTTCATAAATTACTAAAACCCGATGAAATTAATCATTTTTGTATGCTGCGTTTCAACCATGTATGTTGAGATAATTTTAAGATGAATGGTAAATATATGGTTATGTTTTTATAACCTATGTACTGTAACCCAGAATGTTTATACTCTCTGCGTGGACGATGCAATTTGTCTCTTATTAAATCTCTATCCTCTTGTAGAAATGGAAAACGTTTGCATAAACAAATACACATATACACATTTTCAAGGATGCCAAATTCATCATCTTGTACAGGTCATGTTAATTCATTATTATGATTATTTGTCCTATTCATATATCATTCGACCCGTGAAGATCCGGGGTAGAATAGGTCTTCAGCAACCCATGCTTGTCGTAAAAGGCGACTAACGGGATCGGGTGGTCAGGCTCGCTGACTTGGTATCATCTTCCTGAAGCAAGAGAGTTAACTGACTTTAAAAGTCCAGTTTCCACCCTTGCCGAACTAGACTGGAATTACTGGGCTCGATCGTTGCGCCACCAGTGGCTATTACCAGTTATGTCCCCTCTAAGCCTCTCCTATGGACCGATAAGATTCCACCTCTCGTACCACTTGCGTTTGTTTCACCCGAAATGGTGGCGCCCAGTCAGGACGATCTGATCGATAATCAAGATCTATGTTGTGATAAAACGGGTCTTACATCGCGAAATGCATCAAATCACGTGAGCACCTTGATTAAAAACATGAAAAGATTTGGAAAATATCTGCTGACAACGAGTTAGCGGTGCTGATGCGTTGCAAATCCTGCAGTCGACCGAAATCTGCATGACACTTTTACGAACCGGATTTCGATTTCGGTGCGCGATTTTGATTGGACTATGCATAGACTCGTTAGTCCAGCCAAAATGTAACTCCATAATACCAGCCTAGTTCGGGAAGGGTGGAAACTGGACTTTTGTAGTCAGTTAACTCACTTGCCTCGGGGAGATGACTTGGTTTATGCATGTCATCGATCCCAATTGGGTGGATCGATGCCAATGATGTCAGTCACTGGATTGTCTGGTCCAGACTCGATTATTTACAGACCGCCGTCATATAGCTGGAATATTGCTGAGTGCGGCGTTAAACAACAAACAAACAAACAAACAAACAAACAAACACAAATATCATTCATCAACGTACCCCCAACAGCGGTGTAGGTTAGCGTATTCAGACTCCCGCTGTCGATGTCGCTGCAAGTAAGCGTTGTAATGGTTGACCCTGTCGTCGTAGACTCCGCAATGTAGACAAGCTTCAGATAATCCGTGCACGTCTGAATTAAAACAGTTAAGAATCATTCAAGGGAACCCGCGACACATGAACCGTAAGAGATTAGATTATGTCCCCAGCAACCGAAGAGGTGACCTAAAGTACCGGAGGGTCGGGTTCGCTGACTTGGCATCGTACTCCAACATCTTAGGACGTTAATGATAATAGCACTGATATTTGTCGACCCCAGACAACAATTAAACTACCCGGAAAAAGAAAGTACACACCCATGTTTGATGGTGGCTAAACATGAGTGAGTGAGTATGGTTTTTCGCCGCTTTAGCAATATTCCAGCAATATCACGGCGAGGGACACCAGAAATGGGCTTCACACATTGCACCCATGTCGGGAATCGAACCCGGGTCTTAAGCGTGACGAGCGAAGGCTTTAACCACTAGGCTACTCTTCCGCCACGGCTAAACATGAACCAAACAAAAACGGTTATTCTATGTGATGTATTTAATGCGGGTATCATAGTTTGCAGTGTCATGGCGACTGTTTTCAGGATAGTAGTGTTTTTATAACGCTTGTAAGTTTTTTCTCAAATCCAATTTTCAACTGTACACTTTCTTTTGCTCAGCAAATTCTTGTGCCTTTTGTTTATATCCACAATGTCAGTCACTGGATTCTCTGATCAGACTCGGGGCGGTCGGGTAGCCTAGTGGTTAAAGCGTTCGCTCGTCACGCTTAAGACCCGGGCTCGATTCCCGACATGGGTACAATGTTTGAAGCCCATTTCTGGTGTCCCCCGCCGTGATATTGCTGGAATATTGCTAAAAGCGGCGTAAAACCATACTCACTCACTGTTGTGAAGATGCAAACACCAGGTCAGTCGCCGAAAACAGTAAATACTACGATTGCGGGTTTGACGTTAAGCCAGTGTCTAACCATTTAGAAAATGACATGACCTACCGGGTATCAGTTGTGTTGCTGATCGAACTGAGGTGAGGTGAAATGGGGTTTAACGTCGCGTCCAAGATTAATGCACTTATATAACGATGTGCATGCACGTGTATGTATGTGTGTAGCTGCTTGTACTAGTCCGGACTGATGCCGATTGATAGTGCTAGCTCACTGAGATACCATGCCGCAGTTGAACATGAATACCCAACTCAGACACAGTATACTGACTCCGAGCCGACGAGTCCTTGTTTTAGCCCCTTAATGCCGAGCGCCAGGCAGGAGGCGGTTTGATCGAACTGAAGCACATTGACATAGAATAGTTTGATCAATTGCAATCTCATGTTTTGCGGCTGATAGTAGACAGGACGTGGATCAAAAGAAACAATAAAGAATAGAGAATGGAAGTAATCCGCACTTACCGGTTTGAAATTGTTAGAATCCACCACCTTCACCGTCATCTGGCCCGTGGCCGTCTTCGGGATGTCAGGGTCAAGGTCAGTGGCCTTGAAAGTCAAATCGAAGGAGTTTCTTTTCTCATACTCCAGGTATTTGTGAAGGTATATGTTACACGTCTGTGGGTCTATCCAGAACTTGTCATACGGGTCACCATCTACGGATATGCAGAAAAATGTTATCTATAGTTGAACCCTGTTAATCCAGACTGCCTTCTGTGACACCAATATGATCTCACTTGAGTGCATGGTGAAAAGGGATTATCAAACAAGCATGTAAAATCAGTATGAACTAGACGTTTTCTAACCCTCTGGATAATAAACAAGTTTCTCGCTCTCGCTCTGACGTCATTTCTATTGCCTATGACATCACTTCCGGTAGGGTGACGTTACTACCAATAATTTAATGTCATGTTGCCGGGAAGCTCCGAATGTATTTAGAACAACTATGTTGTGGAATTGTACTTTTTTTCCAAACCAAAATTCCGAAATTCAAAAACTGCTATTGTTAAAGTCAAGGGTGTAGTAAATGTGTTAATATAGCTGACATCTTAGCACTGAACATTTTGACTAGGCAATGAAAGTTTCGAATTCACAGGTCGACTCTGGGATCCACAATAATATACCCCCCACCCCCAACTCACCCTCGCAATCTCCACGCACCACTCATCCCCAAAACGTATGTACAGTAAACTACGTTTATAACGAACACGCTTATAACGAACTGACGGATATAACGAACTTATTTTTTAGTCCCGGCCATTCGATGTATATATGCTTTTTATATGCTTATAACGAACTACGGTTATTACGAACTAAAATCACTGGTCCCTTTGAGTTCGTTATAACCGTATTGATTTGCAAAAATTATCACCTGTCTTCTCGATCCGAACCTCCCCTGCCAAGCCCCCTGCCTTCGAGTCCTTATCGGACAATGTACAGGTCGCTACTAGAGTGCCAGGGGCAGACATCTCGTCCACGGTGACGCTTGGGGGTAGGTTCGTTATTTTGGGGGCGTTGTCGTTGACGGAGAACAGGTAGAAACTTATCCCGACTGTGGCGGTCTGGCTGGGTAGCCCCTGGTCGTATACCTTCACCTCCACCTGGGAAGAAGAAGTCAGAGTTACGGCCGCGTTAAGCTTGGAAGCGTTTGTGTGAGAGAGAGGGAGGGAGAGAGAGAGGGAGAGAAAAGAAAGAGGGAGAGGGAGAGAGAGAGTTGCCCTTGATTTTCAGACATCAATGAAGCTGCGATTGTGAGTGTGTGTGTGTGTGTGTGTGTGTGAGAGAGAGAGAGAGAGAGAGAGAGAGAGAGAGAGAAAGAGAGAGGCCCTTGATTTTCTAACATTAATACAGCTGCGTTTGTGTGTGAGGGAGAGAGAGAGAGAGAGTGATAGAGAGGAGAAAGAGAGAGAGAGGGAGGGAGAGAGAGAGCTGCCCTTGATTTTCTGACATCAATACAGCTGCGATTGTGTGTGTGAGAGAGAGAGAGAGAGAGAGGGAGAGAGAGAGAGTTGCAAGTTTGATGCAGAGTCGACATCACTTATTTACATATCTTGTTTTACATTTCAACAAAACATTACACAGTGAAACCTCTTTGAGTGAGTGAGTGAGTATGGTTCCACGCCGCTTTTAGCAATATTCCAGCAATATCACGGCGGGGGACACCGGAGAGAGAGAGACGTGTCAGTGGGTATCGGAGTTCAACAGAGGTATAAGAGCCTACAAATCTGCATATTGTCTGAAATGAGCAAAACTTTTTGAAGTCCAAATGAGAATTTGTTGATTTAAAAAAAATTACACGTTATAGATACAGGAAGCATTTTTCTAATATTTGACCATGACCGGATGTTTTTCTCGGGTAGCTCACTCGTCTAAGGCGCCGCAATCCAGTGTGCAAACTTGCGCCCCTTGGGTACGCCGGAAATCTATGATCGTGGGTTCGAATCTGGTAACGTTTCTTGGTTTGTAAGCACCTACCAGTGCTTGCTGGTTTCACCAAAGTGGTAAATCTCTAAGACCTGCATCACTTCAGGTTTTCCTCCCACATATAACGCCGTGACATAACTGGAATACTGTAACAGCTCAAAGCGGCGTTAAACCCACTCACTTACTCATTCATATTTCGAAAGGTCCTAAGATCATGAGAGGGCAGGGTAGGCCGAGTCGTCTAAGGCGCCACGATTCGATGTGCAGAGTTGCGTCCCTTGGACACGCCAGAAACCTATGATTGTGGGTTCGAATCCCAGTTCGCCCCGATTTTGTTTCTAGGTTTGTCAGCACTATACCCGTGCTCGTGGGTTTCACCGAAGTGGTAAACGTCTGAGACATACATCACTTCGGGCTTTCCTCCCACATTAAACTGACACGCCGTGATATAACTGGAATACTGTTAAAAGCAGCGTTAAACCCAACTCACTCACTCACTCACCTTAGATGATGAGGCATTAGATACTTTATAGTGACGTTTTGTATCAAGTTGTATTCAATTTTGTTTTAAATGTACATTCAGTTTCAAAGGATCAGATTCAGATTCAGGTTTAGGATGAAAACCAGTGACCCGTGCCCGTAGCGCTAGGACCACTGCAAATCTGTTGTCGTATCGCTATAATCACTTTGTAAATACAAGTACCAGAACTTTTTTTCAGCTATATAGACGTTTTGTAAATCTAAGATCTCACACCGGAAATTAGGAAAGAAACCATTATTTGTCCACATTTATATTTGACTGGTGTGTATTTAAGGATTTACGGTACGCACTTTCCGCCGTCGTGGGAACTCTATTAATCTGCCTCTAGGCTACCCTTACAACCGTCAATAGCAGAGAGGGGCACCTGTGGTACTTTTGGCCACCGGGATCCGCAGATCGAGTTCGAATCCAACATTCGCCGAAATCGTGATTACTGGTATTCCAACACGGAACTCGTGCTCTCGTGCCTGACGTTAAGCAAACATTTTTTATTTTCATATTTAAGTACATAAATCGGTAAAATTTTCCGTCGGATATTTCCATGAAAAATACCACAGAATTTGAAATAATAAACAATCAAAGACTTACAAAGTAGTATTTCTGGAAGTCCGCATTGAATTTCCTCTTTAACTTGACGGCCCCGGTGTTCGCGTCGACGTCAAATCTCGCGGCCTTTCCCGAAAACATCTCGTACTTCAATGTACCCTCGGGACTGGATGGGTCGTCGGCATCGGTGCATGCCAACGCCGGCACGATGATGGTGTTGACGCTGGTAGTCTCGGATAGATTCATTTGCAGGAACGTCTCTGTACACGTGGGGACGTTGTATGGAGGGTCAACGGCTTCTGTACCTTGGGCTAAAATCAGACTTCAATAGTTTGTTTGTTGGTTGGTTGTTTAACGCCGCATTCAGCAATAGTCCAGCTGTATGACGGCGGTCTATAAATAATCGAGTCTGAACCAGGCAATCCAGTGATTGATATCATGAGCATCGATCCACGCGATTGAAATACGATGACATGCATCAACCAAGTCAGCGAGCCTGACTGATTGATCCAATCAGTCGCCTGTTACTGAAGGCCTACTCTATGTCGGATCTTCACGGGTGAGACTTATAGTAATAAGTACCATGTTTGTGGGTCTCTAAAATATGAAACCAACAAGAAATGGTTATTTGATGGTGATGTATTTAGTGCGGGTATCATAGTTATGTTTTGGACCGTCTGTATGCAGTGTTTCGGAGACAGTCCAGTAACGTTTCGATAACGTTTGCAATATTTTAGTCAAATCCAAAATTGGCTTCACACATTGTACCCATGTCGGGAATCGAACCCGGGTCTTCGGCGTGACGAGCGAAGGCTTTAACCAATGGAAGAAAGCAAATATTAACATGCACAGTAAAACCTCGTTTATCTGGACGATACGTTCCCAGACTTGTCCAGATTAAAACATATCAAGATAATATGCCTTAGGTTTTTAATATTTTTAACATTAATCCGGAAAGACGGGACATCAACTATGAGGACGTAACTATTTATATTTATTTAATAATGGGGATCGGGTTTCAACAATGGCGTATGACCTATCTGATTGGTAATCATAAACACACGCTCGGAACCAAACTTTCTCCTGTTTCTACAAGTAAGGCGTTTGTTTGTTTGTTGGTTGGTTAACGCCGCACTCAGCAATATGCCAGTTATATGACGGAGGTCTGTAAATGTTCGAGTCTGGACCAGACAATCCACTGATTGACATCAAGCGCATCGATCCACGCAATTGGGACCGATGACATGCATCAATCAAGTCAGCGAGCCTGACCACCCGATCCCGTTAGTCGCATCTTACGACAAGCACGGGTGGCTGAAGACCTATTCTAACCCGGATCTTCACGGGTCTCGACTGCATGTAAGGATCTAAGATGGGTGGTACATTTCCTCTTATAACGTTCATGTAAAGGAGATTCTGAATTGAAATATTGATACTGTTAGACACAATTGATAACATTTCAGTTGATGCCTGATGATTTCTATTAAATTAGGCTATTTGTATTGCGCGTATTTCCACACCACTCGGCGGAATGCTCAGAGCGCTATTATTACCCCGGTCACTGGATCAATGTGCACTCAAGAATCATTCTCAGCTCCCCGGGGAGTATACAACCCAAGCTGCCTGTTAGACGCTAGAAGGTTAATAACCACATTGCCATCTCATCCTACCGGGTACCCATTCACTGCTGGGTGAACAGAGCGCACACTTCGAACAAAGTCACTTGCCCAGGGTGCGCCACATGTGCATCAGTAAGCCTCGTTCTAATCGTGACAGATTAATCACTCGTGTGTAGATTTTTCGGAAACAACCGAACACAGTGGTTAATCTATATCTCTCACCACCGTCACTTTCACTCTAAAGCCCACCATCGGTTACCTAGTGCATTAGTTTGACATATACCACAGACCTAAAAGGCTTATATCTTATATCATATATTTTCAGATATTTTGAATTTTATAAGATATAATAAATCATGATATTTCTAAGAACAATCAAATTTTGTTTCACCGAACAAATTCCATAGCCCAAATAGTTCTGTCATATTACTTTTGACGAATAATACTTCAAATTAATCAATGTGTCACCTCAAGATGATATTCCTTCGTGGCCTCCTATAACAGACCACATTAGCTACTGTGGTCCAGTGACGCATTAGCCCCAGACAACTGAAGCAAATACCAATATTCTATATATGACTGCGAAATTCGTATATATGTATCAGCCAATCCCCCTTGCCATTATCAGACGCAAATGGTTTCAGCACATGGAATGGTCGCTATAATGAGATCAATAATTCACTTGAGTTAATTTTAACTTGGCGCCTTTTATATCGAACATTCTTCTCTCACAGCGGGAGTTCTTGAAATTGAACGAAAATGGATATTTGACGAGATTAGTAGGTGTTAGTCTAATTGCTGGTTCCTGATATTTCTGTTTGCCATTACTGACTGGTGTTTCTTGTGAACTGCGCACACGTTGACACGCGAATACCCATCATTGAGAAGTGTGGTGGAATAATTTACTAGGATGGAAAGTGGCGGTAATTGTCCGAGTTGCTGAAGGGAGAGAAACAATTAGTTGACACGATGGAACTTTTGTGTTTCGCTTGTTTCAATGTGTCCACTAACGCAGATATTTGAAGCAGAAGAACATATTTCAAAATTCGGGCACGCCTTAGTTTTATTCTACTTCTTGATTCACGAACTCTGCCATGAAACAGGATCAACGACAGGCGATATCTACAATAACAAATATATGAAATTGGTTTCATTGTTTACGTAATAAACTGCCGGACAAAAGAAACGCACACACTTGAAATTTGGATTTGACCAAATTATTACAAACGTTATCAAAAAGTTACTTGGCTGAAATCAGTTGCCGAAACACTGCACACTGAGGTCCAAAAACAACAACAACTATAATACCGGTGTCAAATATAATACATCACCATAGAATAACCATTTCTTGTTTGTTTTATCTTTAGTCACGAACAAACATGGTGTATACTTCTTTTGTCCGGCACGTTACATACAGGGCGGTCGGGTAGCCTGGTGGTTGAAGCGTTCGCTCGTCACGCCGAAGACCCGGGTTCGATATGGGTACAATGTATGGAGCCCATTCTGGTGTCCCCCGCCGTGATATTGCTGGAATATTGCTAAAAGCGGCGTAAAACCATACTCACTCACTCACTTGTTGTAGTGTGTTGCAACATGCATGTGCAACACATAAAATTATATAATGAGACAAAACACTTTATATCTAACTCAAACAGAAAATAACGATTCTTCGAATTTGTAACAGTAAAATCGTCATTCTTCACGATTCAACATCACGATAAAATTTCTTCTCTCAATTAAATTCAAAAGCAAAGGTTATGAACACTAGAAAGCGAAAACTGTATTTTTGAAAACAATAACTATATCTAGGTTTTCAGATTTCATGTACTGTGACAATAAGTATGTTTGGATGATCCGAAGAAAGCGTTAATGACGTGGTAGAAGATGTAATAATAAAATGTCAGGTCTTTCCCCTATCTCTGTCACATTAAAGGTGTGTTTGTTTGTTTGTTTGTTGTTTAACGCCACACTCAGCAATATTCCAGTTATATACGGCGGTATGTAAATAATGGAATCGCGCCAAGACAATCCAGTGATTGACATCGATCATATTTTTACACTACAGAGTCTAATAGAGAAATGTCTTAGTAAAAGAGGTGGAAAAGTTTACGCACTTTTCGTTGATTTTTCAAAGGCGTTTGACAGAGTAGATAGAACAAAACTATGGACACTGTTAGAATCGCACGGAATTAGCTTGAAAATGAGTAATCTTTTGAGAAGTATATACACCAATGTCAAAGCCTGCGTGAGAAATAATAACGAACTGTCAGAAAGTTTTACTATTGATTTAGGTGTTAGACAAGGCTGTATAATGAGTCCGTTTCTATTTTCCTTTTTCATTAATGAATTAGCTACTCAAATACAAGAAAATTGCTCCCATGGTATCCAGTTACATCCGGATCTTACGGAATTATTTCTGTTGCTGTTCGCAGATGATGTCATACATTTTTCCACGACAATGATTGGTTTTTGCAAAGGCAAATTAATGAACTTGAAAAATTCTGTAAAAAATCAAACTTAGTTGTAAAAAGAGAAAAAACAAAAGTTATAGTCTTTAAAAATGGGGGAAAACTAGCAGCAACTGAAAAATGGTTTCACAATGAAGAAATTTTGGAAACCACATCTTCCTATAAATATCTTGGTGTTTATTTCACAAATCAACTTTCATGGCATTTTCACGTCAATCAAGCTGATATACAAGCTAAAAAGGTTTGGACTGGTATATTTAGACAGTCTCCATTTCTAAGAGACATCTCATTTAGATCATATTTTAATTTTTTTGATACAAACTTAATTCCAATACTACACTATGGTGCTGAAATCTGGGGTATAAAAGTTCATGATCAAATTGAAAAAGTACATTTGTTTGTTTGCAAGAAATACTTAGGAGTTAAAAATAGTACGTCCAGCATAATGGTATATGGAGAAACGGGACGATATCCGCTGTATATTCAATCCTACTTAAAGGCTTCGCTTGATAATTTAACATGACTAATGATAGAAACCATAGGAAGTGCTATGATATGTTAAAACTCTACGACAGTACTGGAAAACGAAATTGGGTAACAAACGTAAAAAAATTATTATTTATTTCGGGTTTTAATTATGTGTGGTATAATCAGTTTGTAGAATCAGAACCGCTCTTTTTAATGCCCTTCACCCAGAGACTAAAAGATATGTATTTGCAAAAATGGTTAGAATTAATGTCTAAATCAAATAAATGTTTATATTATAGAATCATGAAAAGTAATATTGAAATTGAGGCGTACCTTTGTAAACTTGAGTTTAAAATTTTTAGAATTGCATTAGCACGATTTAGTTTCTAATATGAGTTTCACTTTCTCCTGGTATGTCAAGCTTACAAACATTTACGTGATAAATATATGCCATCTTTCTACTATGTACACCCGAATGTCCATAAGTTTGTAGATCTTTTAACTTCATCTAATGATACTATGTTATGTAACCTGTCAACATATGTTTATCACGCGATGTCACATAGAAACGGAATTGTTAGTTAACAATCACGTCACCTACATGTAAATACGCATTGTACTATAGGCCTGTGGCCTTTTAAGTACTGAATAAAACTGATTGATTGACATCTTGGACATCGATCTACGCAAT